AGATGTATAATAGACATAAGATGGAGGCCAGCTCACTTTTTGGATTACAGGTAATTTTCGCCAATAAACTGTTGATATCGCGAACAGTTTTCATTTTTCGATTGTTAATATATTTATTATACTTATATTCATTATATTTGCAGCGCGACATGTGGTTGTGTGAGGCTCGCCGTCGTGGCCTAGAGGTGAACTCCTGAATGCATCAAGGAATGCGTTCCTATGGTCAAAGCTGAAAAAACGGATTTTCCCTACTGAAATTAAAATAAATATGTAATCAGGTGGCGCAATGAAGTGAACTAATTTTGAGACGAGTCACTATCGAACTTACAAGTCTACTACTAATTTTGCTGACCTTGCTTCTGATCTTCGTTATTTATATCTAAAATGTCGTACAGTTGTAATTTATATGTTTGATTAGAATCTTTTTATTTATTGTTCTCCGGCTATTGACTGTGATTTTATGAAATTGTTGCGTTGAATGAATGGGTTTCTTACACTACGTGACGGTTTTTTACTGGTGATTTTTAGCGGAAGAGCTACCGTATCATTGTCTAGTTCTTTTTTTCAACTTTTTGAAAGAATTTTCTTATTGTTGCTTCCGACATGTGTTTCTTGATTATTTCTAGTTCGAGGATAAGGCTGCCAGAGAAGAAGATCAGAGTGACTTGAAGGTCGGAAAGTGGTCCACACAAGTTTGGGATGGCTGTCGATGTAGCGCCCGTGCCGTATTCCACTATCATCCTACATTGCCTGAAGTATCCCCACAATGGAGTCTATGGCATTTTACTTGGCACAAAGACTGGGTAATAAGGTTAAGGTATGTTCTTTGTTACTTCAAAGGAAAATCTCAAGTTGTTGAGGTCAGTGGGGACCGAGAGACGGACATGACATTCGTCATTTGTCCCGTCGTCGCGCGCGTATTCTGCGATCGTGCGCAACCTTCTCGATGAGCCTCAGTTTTTCTATTGGAGCAGTGGAACTCGAATGAATTCAAGTCAAGTCTTCATGACGGGCGATTCATATTCAAACGGCGAGGCAAGACAACTCGCTTGACGGACGCGACGTCCTCTGCCACGCCTACCAGCGCTGCAATTATCTGCGATTGTCTTGCCCCTGAGGACCGCCTATGCTTTATATGTACTCCGCTAGAAATCGCGCTATTTCCCTTTTAACATCAGCGCTGCGCCAGCAGTAGAATCAGCTCGAGAGTTTCCACATCTTCTATCAACCTTGGAACTGTTTAGCGTGGTGGCGATGGTGTGCAGGTGTTCAACAAAATCCTATTAGGAATATGTTTTTTTCGGAAACTTGGGTGATAGGCTAAAATTTGCATTTTCGATGATATTTATGTGGAACTGTATTGAGTTCAAATTGGTTGTGATTCAGATTTCCGCTGCTGTCCCGATTTCTCATGAATCGTCGCCTCTCGCACCTGCTGTAGAAGTTGCTCTAGCGATTGTTCATGCCTCCTATCCGAACATCATCGGCGTGTATTATTCAAATCACAACTATAAGGACACAAGGTACAAGATGTATACTACTGTATCCTACAATTTTACCCTGCCGGGAAACTGGGATGGCTAGCAGTGGACTAGAGCTTGTTAAATGGATCATGGTGCATGGAGGTTCCTCGGAGATTGGGGGGGGGATACGAGGGGGTCTTTTTCTCCACATTTGTGCTACTCGTCATTTTAGTATTTGTGCCGCGCAACTTATTCCGAAGGCAGAGCGTTCGTTTAAGCATTAAATGGTGCGCCAGAGGCCAAAGCAATTTCACATCGCAACATGCTGCATTGCGCCCTGCGCCGTTGTAAAGTGAGAAAAACGACAAGAAATAAACGAGGCAATGAAAAAGTTGAAAAAAAGAACACATAGAAGTATGTGTAAATTTGCACAGCTGACAATGAGCTTGAAGAGTGTTCGGGATAAGGCGGTGAAATCCTAAGTTTACCGATGATCAGCTAAATCGCTAGGCGGGCACTGCTGGTTCTGGGACCATCACTCCCTCCTTTTCAAAGTTTCTAGCAATGTTTACCTTCGCTGCCCTCTCTGAAATCCAAGACATGTTTTGATCAAAATTTCCGAGTGGAGATAGGGTTAGCCAAATTATTGTCCCCGGGATAGCTCTCTGAAGGTCACTTGTTTGGTGTGATCTATAGGTTTTCGCGCCACGCAAAAGTGATGCTCATGTTAAGGAGGGGGAGGATGTGCGGCGAAGGAAAAGTTCGATCCAAGTCAGGCCTAGATTTCGGAAAGTGGGGAGTGGGGCTTTCTCAAGGGAACAGCATAGACTCGTTGCTTTGCATTTGTGCTTTTTGTATTAGCAACCACATGATATTGTTTATATGTTTACTCACTTTTAAGCTTGAATCCTTATGCCGTTCGATTATGTGATGCTGTTACGTCTGTGTGCGGAACGCAGGCTATCCTTGTACAGGTGATCAATTGGAACCTGAGCCCTGACTGTGAGAGTAACTCCTTGGCTGCCTATGTCAAAGATGGAGAAAACTGGAAAGACACACGGTTAGTGTATTTTCTAGGTTATCTTTCTTAAAAGATGGTGAGTCATGCGTAGAAGATATGGCCTCAGACAGGACTTGCCGGTGCATTTTGAGTCTCGCCTGGGGTTCAGCTTTTGCTCGTAGCTCAGCATTCTTACGATAACTTTTGGAGCGCTGACTGCGGAATTAAACATCAGTTATCGTTATGAAGCGGTACCTTCTTCGTAAAAGTCAATGAATTCTGGTCAGATGCACACAGTAGAACTGTAGGCGGTGCAGTTCGGTTTGGTGGAGACCTACAGTCCTCAGCAAAGCCGGTACCAACCATCTGCAAGGACTGTAAATCCCTAAAACTAATCTGGCTCACTTGTAGCACTCCAAAGGAGTTTAAAGCTCTCACCAAATGAGACCTATTGATTAACATGATTGAACAGAGGAAACTAGCGAAAGGGGAAAATGCCACCTCCAAGCCGAACAGCGCTGCGAAGGCTTCACGGTTGTGAATTTCCCTTTGAGGTGGACAAGTGTGATGATCATTTCACAGAGGAAACAGATTCTAATTTCACTAAAAGTAAGCCGCTAGAAAACTTGACCAGAGCAGGGACTCGAACTCGCCAAATGTGACATCCTAGGCATTTTTCTTGAGGATTTACTCCCGGGACATTGGCAGTTGGAACCTGGTTAACCCTGCTGTAAAGAAAATGCGCAAGATGCGAACAACGACCCGCAAAACATTTGTTTTATGTTGGTAATCGAAATGTGAACTTGTATTGTTGTTACTTTATGACGCAACAGCCGCGTACATGAGGTACTCTTGATTTTTAGGTTATCTAAACACAAGGACGTCGATCGCGACGTTGCCCTGTGGTGTTTGCTCAGAGAAGCTATGTTAAGTAATGAAAAACAACAAATCATTTGTTATTCCACGTCAAGCGCTTGTGGAACATGAGGGACGGATAAGAGCACCAGCTACATATAGGGGCAATGCCGACATTCCGTTACGTCCTGCTAGATGTAGAGGATGGGATGTCTTT